CCCCCCCCCCCACCCCACCAAGAAAGAGACGTGCACCTGGTTTTCTTACAACATTACTCTTTAACCTTTGCAAACAGATTGCGAAGTGGAAACGTTGCTTGCATACAAACGTTGCCTGTATGCTTCTTTAGCCGTCGAGCCTGCTTCCAAAGTCTTTGAAGGGCTGAATCTGGGTGCCCACTGCAATCTATCAGGAAATTACACAACTCTCTTCCGAGTAGCCATTGTGGAGGGAGAAAATAGGGTATTTAAAATAATCACATTTAACTTTGAATTATTTTCCCAATTAAAGTTAATTTAAGAAGGTCTGGGGTTCCGGAAACTAGTGATAGAGTGGTGGGCACATCACGAAGGCCGCCTGCGTTTGAAATAACGCCATCTTGGTTGAGAGGCTTGTTGTATTTTTACCCCAGTCTCACGTTTTGATCATTTCTCAGTATCAACGTAAAAGATCCTCCCGATTGGAAGTACAACACTGGACAGCAGGGGAGAAATCGACCTTCAGCGCTCAGATGGTGGCAGCATCCCTAAGAGATGGGAAGGGGGTGCAGGGTAGAGTGAGACGAAAAGGATGCGAAGTCAGGATGGGATCTGCGGTGTTCGCCCTGGCGCTCTGCAACTCTCTTCAGCGAAGACAGGGTTAAAAGCCGAGACTGACTTTGCCTCTTGGAAAGCTTTGGGTTGCAGCCGCGCCTCCCAAGCATTCTTTAAACCAGAAATGTGGGAGGGACTCTGGGAGGGAGGGTGGAAAGGAGAGAGAGGAAGAGGGCTCGAGGAGGGGAGCGCGCCAGAGCGCGAGGGACGGAGGGAGAGGAGGAGCGCGGGAGCAGCGGAGGCGATCTCGCGAATTCATTACTGTAAACATCTCCCGGGGGTGTCAGGCGGGTGGGGGGGTGGGGGCCGCAGCGCCTACATTAGCCCGGCCGCGGCGGATAGAGGCAGCAGTGTGATCGCAGCAGTCTGAAGACCCGCGCCTGGCCGGCTAGGACTTGGAGCAAGCCCCGCGCCAGCCCTCGCGCAGCTCCGCGCAGTACCGCACCCCGGGCTCAGCGCGGTCCGCACACACGCGGCTGAGGCCCACCCGCGCGGCTTTCCGGCCGCCCCTCGGGGTCCTCCACCGCCGCTCCCAAGAGCCCCGGCGCCGCGTGCCGCGAGCCGCCGCCTTCCGGTTCGCCCTCCTCCTTTCGGGGCTCCGTGGCTTGGACGAGGCGGAGAGGGGAGGCTGAGGAGGAGAAGAGGTGGGGGCCGCGGGGGCCGCAACCGAGAGAGAGTGGCATGCCCGAGCCCTGGAGGCGGAGGTGGCGGAGGACGGGGGAAGACGATGCCGCGACTCCGTAGGGGAGGAAGACGAGAGCGAGCGAGGCGAGTGGGGCGCCCGGACGCCGGCCGGCTGCGGGGAGGCGCGCACCTCTCTGAGGCTTCGGCCACCGCACCCCCGCCCCCCGACGCTGCGGGCGACAGAGCCCTGCTCCGGCTGCCGCCGCCGCCGCCACCGCCTCCACCCGGAGGACTAAGCAAAAGTTTGGATCTGGGGGAGGGCGCTGCGCTGAGCGGAATTACCACCAAGGCTGGAAGGAGACCTCCAGAACCTTCTCAGGTAACGCGCATCCCCAGCCCTCTTCCTCCAGTCACTGCCACTTGGCTCCTGCTCCCTCCCTACGCCTTTACCGGCTCTCGATCCGGGCAGAAAGTAACGGGGAGGCGAAGTTCAAGATCCCGGGGACGTGTTTCGAGCGTCGGCAGATCGATAGTCACGTTAGAGGAGAGCCTTGGCGCTTCTCTGCGCCCCTTGGGCAGCTGTGCGGGGAGGCGGATCCCATGGGAATGGATGAGAGCCCTCGGCCCCAGTTGGTGCTTCATCCCGTAGCTCTTTGGAAATTTGAAATGTGGATTCTGGGGCTTTTAGTATTGTTCAGTTCTGGAAAATGATGCATGAATTTCACTCATCCACACCCTCATCCTCTCACTCCCTCACTCCTACTTAGGGTATCTTAAAAATGACTTGTACCCACTCCCACTCGCCCACCCCGTTTAACTGGTCCAGGAGAGTAACTCTGACGATGAAAATTGCAGGCAAAGGGGAACAATTATCTTTCCTTCGTTTGACATCCCCAGAGTCCTGCGTCCCTCCAGTCACCTTTTGGCGTCATAAAATAGGAACTTAAGAAATCGTATTTTCCTTGAAGGGTAAGATGAAACGTGTTAGCCATGGTAACGTGAATTTGCAATGAATATGTGTGTGTGTAGGTGCCAATTTTTTCCTCGGTGGCCTGATGCACCGTGGTGTGGGGGAAGTGAGTGGCCGCACGTGCTCAGTAAGGAGGTGGCAGCGGAGAGAACATGGTCACGTTTTCCCAAACAGTAGCAGCCTTACTTAGGGTAACTGGGAAAATAGCTGCTGCTTCTCATCCTGAGAGCAAAAAGATTTCAGCTCTAACCCCCTGCAACCTCCTTCCCCCCAGGTGCGTTTTCAGTTTAGAAGCAGCTCAGCGTTTACTGCTGCTATCATATTTATTATGATCATTATTTATTCACTTAGAATCTCCTCGTGCCATCTCTTGTGAATGGAAATCAGTTTTCAAAAGCTTTTGATTAATTTTAGTGGAGGGAATTTCTTGTTAAACCTTACATAAAGCTAATAAAGTGCAAGGTACAAATCCGTGTAAATGCGCGCGCAGGAGTGCAAGGTGCTGATTAGATTTCTTTACGTGCTGCATTTGCTATGCAAAGCCTCTTCTAAATGAGAGCTATTGCTCCCCACTCAGCTGGGAGGCTCTTTAATCACACAGGGTTTCAGGGAGCTTTAGGGCATGTCCACGTGCTCACAGGCTTATTGCTAAATTTATTATGCCTAACTTCTCCCAGCCAAAAGCTATTACGAAGACTACCTTCCATATCAGGACCGATATTGTCTGTGGACTTAACCGATACGACCTTATTAAATCGCCAATAAAAGGCTCCCCTAAACATTTCGAGGTAAATAAAACACAAGTTGTTTGTCCAGGGATATATTTGG